CAGATTGCTTTCTGTTTAAATGTCAAAAAATAAACCAATCAAGACATAAGCCTTTCACTGACGTCAGTCTCTATAATGCCACCCACACACACTACATGCATTCCACGTTTCAGTTCAACTCTCTTTCTGTTGTTATTGTGTTCTGCATCTTATAATTACACCAGAGGTGGCACACAAATATTTAGTTTTGTTGTAATGAGTGGCAGTTAAAAAATCGTAAGATTATCTATACATTTTCTTTGAATTTTACTAATCCATGGCTGTCACTATTTAGGACTATACAGTTTATGAAATTCTAATACTTGTCCAAAATATTTCTTGTTGTGGGCTAGAACCTTAAAGTGACACTAAACTCAGGTGTTAAATCTTAAAAATGTGTTCAGGTACCTTAACTATTAACAAAAATGTATCTTATTTGTGTATCACTCGGCTGTAGATCCTCAAATCATTTCTGAATTGGTGCCGACACTGTCCTTTCTTCTGACTACTTTTGTTCCCCATGGTCCGTTTGTGTGTTTTAAGGTAGTCACCGCTCCAAGCTCACTCCCATGATAGACTACAATCTCACATTTAGTTTACTAATTTGTATTGAGATTGTAGTCCATCACAGAAGTGAGCTTGGAGCGGTGACTACCTTAAAACACACAAACGGACCATGGGGAACAAAAGTAGTCAGAAGAAAGGACAGTGTCGGCACCAATTCAGAAATGATTTGAGGATCTACAGCCGAGTGATACACAAATAAGATACATTTTTGTTAATAGTTAAGGTGCTTGAATGCATTCTTAACATTTAACTGCTTAGTTTAGTGTCATTTTAAAGACAATTTTACTAACTCTGTAGCTCTACCTAAATTGCTAGCAATGGATTGCTAAGAATTATTTGCTACATAGATTGAGGACATTTTTCATACCGTTATGGTCTTCACAAAGGGAACAGAAACACAAACTTCTGAAGTGAATCCACACACTGAATTCTCAATTGTAAGAAGCCAGTTGATAATTCAGCCCACTGGTTACCTCCTTAAACTGAAATAAAGTTTTTTCAAGTGCCCTTTATTTACAGTGAAACATACTACTGGGATAATAAATGCATTTTCAAAAATATACTGATAGAGTACAAAGTGGACGGTGTATAACCTGCATAGCAATGTATTGGATTTAAGTTCCCGCTCCAGTGCAGGCTTATAAATTAATGCAAGTGTCCAACTATCTCCTACAACCAACACAAACCTTCCCCACATCTGCATGTTTATCAGCCCTACTGCCAATTATTACAGTATAGCAGGGGGTGATAAGTAATAATACGGGCAAATAAACCTAATAACACAAGCTGGCTGCCGAGCCAACCCGATCCAAATAATATTTTTAAAATCGAATGGGGAAGAATAAAGCAACTGTGTTTTTTTTCAACATCAGTGTCCTTTTGAGAAGATTGCCCTTCATTGTCTGTCCTAGAGATATAACAGGAAAGAGAGGGAAATCCTCTTAGACAATTGTCACTACAACAGGTATGCCTTAAAAAAAACTTCCCACCTTAGGTAAATTTAGATGTATTGTAAACTTCCTCACACTCACCTTTCCCCTTAGCTCCACAGTACACACCCACATGTCCATCTAAAAGCCCATGCTCGGGAAACATCCTTTCCTGTCCTAGCAGATATGACTTCCTTATTCTTGTCCCACCCTTGTCACATCGATTCTGATCATTGCCCCATCCACACTCTCCATTTAGCGACCATTCACCTCTCTCCTTATTCATTACCCATCTGACCTTGTCCAGGACATCTTCCTGTACATTACCACCTCACTTCGATTCACCTTTGTTCTGTTTTGTCTCTTCGAATTGACGGGTTCTCACGAGTTCTGTTTTATTATAGAGTAGTAGACTGTACTCTTGTGTACATTATTGTGTTTAAAGGAGAACTATGAGATGAGTGATTTCCACTCACCTCATAGTTCTAGCCGACCTGTGACAATGAGACTGTCACAGGTCGGCTCAGTAAATCGGGAGGTGAGCGAACACATACCGGGTTCGCTCACCTCTCGATCCTGTCACGGCTCTCTGCCGTGACAGGGGGAGGAGCTGGATTCCCCTCTCCCCGCTCCGATCTGCCAGCGCTGACTGGCGGAACGGACGGAGGAGGGGGCGGGTACAGCTGGCTCTGCCTCTAGATAGGCAGAGTCAGCTGTCACTCACGCAGCTGGGCGGATGTCGACGTCCATGTCGGGATCCGCTCCGGTGTCTCATTACTAAGCTTAGGGTAACGGGAGGACGCTAGTTTGTGTCCTCCCGTTACCCTAAGGAGAACTATGGGGAAAAACACTGACCCCATAGTTCTCCTTTAAGATATGAACCTTGTGACAAAGATATGCACCTGTTCTTTATTTTTTCTTCTGAACTTGAAATTCAGCTATTATTATGAGATATTGTTTGTTCTCTTTGAAAACTTTAAAGAGAATTACATGCTAAAAGAAAAAAAAAACTTTGCTGTTTGAGGACGACTCAAAAATGTGAATTTCTCTCACACTCTGTCCTGGTGATGAGAGTCATGAGGACAAAAAAAATGGCAATTCCTCTTTAGTGGGGGCCCACACCGCAAAGTAAACCTGACAGGTTTGTTAAACCTTACCTTTGGCCGTAGATGCACTTTATTGATGTGTGTCTGTCTGCGTAATGATAGTACGAAAGGTTCATTATGCTTTTGCAACATGAATGAACATGAGTGAAGATGCATTCACAGTATAGGAAAGCTGGAATGTGTTGTGTTTACCCCAGTCCATTTTTCTGCTTCTGTGCTAGTTCTTTACAAAACCTATCATTAATTGTGGCCTTGGAAGGCTTTGTAATTAGTAGAATATATAGCTTAGCCCTTCTCCTGTCACGATCTTCTCCTGTAGTCTAACGAAATATTGCGTGTATTGAGCTTGTTCACTTTTGCATAATAGTTTTGCACGCTCTTGACCTGATGGAGTCATATAATTAATAGTTAGACACGCACTGTTCTTTTTAGGTACTTGGAATATCGGCTGATTACCGCATCCACAATATCACAAGAAGACAATGGTGTTGAGTAACTGAAGAGGTAGATAATAATTAAATGCATGCTCAGCTTGGGGAATGAGGTGACGCTGTGTTCACTTCAATCATCCATCACTTGTAAGCAAAAATGATTTCCTTGCACGATTGGATCTTCTTAAAACATGAGCGGAGCTTAACATTCTCTACTGAATGAAGTGAACATTCAAAGCCCAATCATGCCGTGCCGCAATGCACATATTTTCTTTTGTTTTGGTTTGCTGAGTTTAAAAAGGAATGGGCTGCAATGTTACTCTATGCAGTGCTTACTGCAATTTTTTTTAATTTTTTTTTATATATGTAAATGGGCCATTACTTAGCTTAGTGAACAGTCTCTTGTCCTAGTAAACCAACCCAATTAGGTAGTATATCATTTTTGTTAGAAGCTTTGACCAAAATGTTTGAATTTTTTTGAGGTACAGGTGCTCTTTCATGGAGCACATTAGGCTATGGGATAATGCTTCCAATCCGATCATTAGTATTTCTGGTGATGTGTACACTTGAAGGGTACTTGTATAGACATCTTGACTCTGCGCTCTGCTACCCATCTGTAGACAGCGGATGTTTCATTTCCATCAAAATGTGAGTCTTGGAAGTGATCCTAGCTGGAGATTAAAGATTTGCTTAGAAATGATCAATTGAAGATCTCTGAAAAGAGGCTGAAGCTGGTGCTGTGAAGGACAGGAGGTTAAATGCATGCTGATCTGCTTTCTGAGAGGTATAAAACTGAATCTCTGTGTGCCAGCACACCGTGTAGATTGAGTAACTGGTTCTTTGTCGAGCTTGATTTTAAAAAACAACCCTGGGCAAATCAAACCTTAACCCTTGCAGTGGGCCTACCCCTGCACTGAAAGGAGGTTAAGTGCTTTTTATCATCTAGGAACAAAAGTAACAGGCCCCTTTCACATGAGCTTTCAGGTTGTCAGGTTTCCAACCCTCTATTTGCAGATGAAAAATGGTCAACAATGCATCTCCGGCCCCTTTCACAGGGGCGGTCCGATAGGGTCCCTCTGTCAGTTTTTCAGATGGACCTGATTGGATGCTCAATGCAAGTCTATGGGCAGGCGTTTGTAAACGGTCGAGTGTCTGTTTGGGTTACCCCCGGCTCAAGTCGGGTTCGGCAAAACAGATGGAGCAGTGTTCCATTTTCATGGACAAGATCGTGCCAGATCGGGGGTAATCTCATGTGAACGGATACATGTCTGTTCACATCAGATTCCCTATAGACACACATGGTGTCCAGCATGTTTAATTTTTTTTCCTCCATTGCAAGACACAGTGGTGACATCCGATCCATACCACTGTGATCAGGAGAGGATCTCTGCACGGATCCTCTCCTTATCAGCCCATGTGAAAGGGGCTATAGGTAGTGCAGATGACAACTGATGACCATCAGTTTACATCAGGAAACATCAATGTCAGTTGAAGTTCGCAATTTGAGACTTATCAGCTCTCCGTTTTGACTGACCGGGACTGTTTAACCTGATGATCAGTTTACATCAGTTCAGGTTATGTCCATTTTTTGGGAATGATGTCGCAATGCATACTGGGGAAAAGCAGAAAATCATGAGAATTTACCATACTATAATAACAAAAATTCCAAAACAGATGTAAACTGAACTGACAACTGATGTAAACTGATGACACTTGTGTGAAAGGGGCCATAGAGATGCATTGTTGTTCATTTTTCATCCGCAAGCAGAGGGTTGGAAATCTGACAAGGGGCCTTATACTTACCTGATCCTCGGACCCGGCTGGCTCTTAGACTGTAGTTTTCAAAGGATGTCACCAGCACACTATAATCTTTGTGTAATCAGCAAAAGTCCATTTACTGAATAACAATTGCCATTCAAATGCAAGCGCTTTTGGGGCCTGCACAGGGTCCCCTTCATCAGGTTCAGAATGATGAACTGAGCGGGCTGATGAACGTCATTCTGAGCTTGATGTGGTCCCGAAATTGCTTGCATTTGCATGGCAAAGATTTTAGTGAGCTGGTGACATCCTTTGAAAACTACATGTCTATCACGGCAACATCCGTGGTCACTACAAGCACCCACCTGCATCTTGCGGGTCATCAATTCCGGTAAGGAGTGCAGCAATGCATCTTGTGTTATACTTGGCTCTTAGTCTGGTCCTTTCAGCCTTGCTCCCCATCAGCTCCAGCAGTCTAAGGATCCTTAAGTCACACTGCATAGGATGTGAGGATGCTGAGGGACATGCTGTGGCAGCGAAGGAGGAAACATGCTGGAGGGAGCTCTCTAAGGTTCCATTCACACATAGCAGTTGGAAAATCAGTGTGGTTCTCCGCGCGGCACAAAAACTTGCACATTTGCGGCTACTCTTATAGCCAGAAAATCGCACTTGGACTTCTATTCCTATGTTTTCTTTAAAGTTAAAGATACAGCAGTGTTCAAGGATTGATACTAAATTTATAGCCAATGAATGCACACAGACATAGATTTATTGACCTAGGTAATAAAAGAAAAGACTGGGTCAAAGATCTGGATTCATTTTCCTGTAAGGGCTAGACAGATCCCTGGAGCCAGATAGCCAATGTACAGCTGGAGCATAACTTGAGGTTTTATCTAGTTGTTCATAGAAGTGGCTCCCAGATTAGACGGACTGCTCCTGAATCCCATATTAATTTGTCCGCCCTGGTTTGAGGTATGAATGAACTTCTGCAGAATTCAGGAGCAAGTCAGTCTAGTAGAGATGCTATCATGCAAAAGTCCTGGAGCATGAGCCACCAATAACAGAAACAGCTCTGCAAATTTCAATTTCAGCTGCAGCTATCTGTACAGAATAGCACTGGGGATTTGTTCATTCTGTCTGGAAGGAGTTACCTGCTTACAAATAGTGTACATGTATGTCATTTTTTACATGTTTATGCACTGGGGATTTGTTCACAGTCTGGAAGGAGTTACCCGCTTAAAAATAGTGTACATGTGTGTCATTTGTTTACATGTTTATGTATCTCAATGTCTAGCTTGCAATATAGGTTTATTAAATCATTAATATTGCCAAGAGCCCCCCTAAGACTGAATAATAATGTACAGGCCTGGCAGTAAATTCGCAGATTCTCTTACTTTCACAAAGTCCTCTTTTTTCTAAAGAGGATTGTTTATCCTTTTATTGTGGACCTATGTAAACAAAAAAGGTGTGTATTATTGTATTGCCCATTGAGATTAATTCAAAATACTTTGTTTCTTCCAGCCGACATTTGGGCTCTTGTTTGACATAGATGGAGTCCTTGTCAGAGGGAAAACCCCGATCCCTGCCGCAAGAAGTGCCTTCCAGAAACTAGTAAATAGCCATGGCCAATTCTTGATGCCAGTCGTGTTTGTCACAAATGCTGGAAACTGCCTTCGCCAGACCAAAGCTGACCAACTATCCAATATACTAGGAGTGCCAGTGAGTATATCTACACTCTAATGCCCTTCCATCTTGTATACATTCTATGCATTATAAGATTCCAATAATTTAATTTTCTCTGATTGTGAGGCACATTGTGGTTCTTCTTCTATTTTTTTTTTTTTTTTCCTTTGTCACAACAAATATTATTTTCAGGCATGGTTTCCAGCTGAAATACCTGTATATGCACTAGGATCCCTGTATTTTGTGAGTGGATCTGTTAGCCAAGAATTAAGACATTCATACAAGAATAGTCTTACATGGCAGAGGAACATAAAAAGTAGCCTGAAAGGTGTATTTTGTTTTAGAACATGAGAGGTTTTTTTTATAGAATACTTGTAGGTAATGACTGGATTGAACTAGCCCATGCCACACTATGAAAAGAAGTAGCAACTCCTTTTTTTTTTTTAGCTCTCCACAACCAGTGGTTCAAGGATGCAAATAAGAGGGCATAGGCAAATTCTACAGTATATGAGTATTGTAAACTTCATGACTATAGTTGCACGATTTATTTGACTCATTTATGTATTTTTTCGCAGCCATTCAAAATAACGAGGAGCATAGACAGAGTGCTCTAGGTTTTTGGACTCATTTTTGGTATAAAACAATTAAAGGAGAACTATGAGGTGAGTGATTTTCACTCAACCTCTTAGCTCGAGCCGATGTGTGACAAAACCGTCACAGGTCGGCTCAATAGATCGGGAAGTGAGCGAACGCATACCGTCGCTCGCTTCTCGATTCTGTCCCTGCAGAGAGCCGTGACTGTCACTCAGAGCTCCCTGCAGGGTTTTCCCCCCCTCCCCGCTCTGATCGTTCAGCGCTGACTGGCGGACCGGACAGAGGAGGGGGCGGGTACAGCTGGCTCTGCCTCTAGATAGGCAGAGCCAGCTGTCAATCACGCAGCTGGGTGGATCTCGACAGTAATGTCGGGATCTGTCCCGGCTGCGGCGGTGTCAGTATACCGCGAGCTGTAACTCGCGGTATACTAAGCTTTGGGTCACGGGAGGACGCTAGTTTGTAGCCTCCCCTGACCCTTAGCAGAACTATGAAAAACACTTACCCCATAGTTCTCTTTTAACCCCTTCATGACTGAGGCCTTTTTTTCATTTTTTGTACCCATGTTATATTCCACATTTTAGGCCTGAAAATTACTTAAAACCCCCCAACATTATATATTTTCTGAATGCCAAGACCCTATATAATAAAATGGTGGTAGTTGCAAATTTTTATGTTGCGCAAATGTCTGGATTTACAACACCTGTAGATAACCTATTACTGGTAGAAGATGTAAAACTTCATGCAGATAGTGCCCTAAGTGTGGGGCAGGGAGACAGAATCCAGCATTCCTGTGCTGCAAGACAATAGTGCAAAGCTGTATACTTTCACACTATACACTCCAAACTAGTGTAAATAATGTGATATGTGTAGTCAGTCTAAAACACCACTACGAATTGTCTGGTTTTTATTACCCGACTCCATTCTTTAAAAAAAAACAATTGTGTTTGTCATGATATAGGGAAAAGGCAGAGCGTTGGTGATGCAATGAGATTCCTTTTTCTTGCCTAGATAAGATATTTATGCAGAGGGAAGGCTCTAATTTCAGCTGTTCAGCTGGCAAGAGACAGAGAGAAAATAAACTGCGTAGATGTAAGGAACCTAGCCTGATAGGATGCAGTCACCGTGTGACAAGTTTCTATCCAGCTCAGTCGATTTTTTTTTTTTTTTTTTTAATTGACTTTTGTCAAGCCAAGTGGTGCTCAACCAACCATGACTCAAATTGCAGTCAGTTCAGCATGAATTGAGTTACATTCTAGCAGTCTATGGGAGCATTTAGACTGAGTTTTTCTATTTTTTTGAAAAAGGGTCTGGTCCTGATCTGTATAATAAAAAGCTTGTGTACTGTATTCTATTCATGTGAATGGGGGAGGTAGACATTGTACTTGAATCTTCCTGTGGTGAAAACTGCAATGCATTTGTCCTATTTAAAGGAATCATTGCTTAGAGACACATAAAGGATGCCATTGTTGATATCACCTATCACCTTCTGAAAATGCTAGCTGTCTGGCTGTCATGCTATCCTAGTTGCTTCAATTCTGAGTTACTGATTTAGCTCAGTCTTGTAAATGTAGTTTTGACTTCTCTCTGACTTCATTTGCGGCATGCTTGTTTAATAGCTCAGAATGTATTAAAGACTGGCTTGGAAGGCAACTAACATTTTTTGAAGGAACGTTTTTAGAAGGAAGTCAGCAATTGCAACCTCCAGTCACTCCACCATATCCATCCGCGGATATATTAAAAAGGTGTAGAGCTTGTCTGCAAGTGGATTGGATTAGCAATGGGACCGAATATCGTCCTTCCAAAATACTCTAGAGCCTTCATAATTTAAAGCAAAGGAAATGCATGTACTTTGTACCAACCTTATATACAGAATATCCTTTCCTCCAGGCCTGGAGGAGCTCACTGCTCTCCTATGTAGTAGAAGCTGTTAAATGGGTATACTTGGTGATTTAACAGCACATTGATACTAGTCACCATCCTTTAAGCCTTATTGCATGACCAGCAGTCCTGTCACTTTGACTACATACGAGCAGACTTTCCCATTGTACAGAGATGTTTATAGTCACTGGAGCATCTGTGGTTAGAAATGTCTCTTGGGTTCGTTAAAGGATTTTGAAGAAGACAGTCGAATTATAAGATATTGATTGATGGGTTTATATCCTTATATATTAACCCATCAGTCAAGATCTTGTGATCGGGCTGTGTCCTTCAATGAATGCAGAGTAAAGGATTTTATGGTGAATAGAAGTATCCTAATTTTCCTTAGGTTTGTGACCATATATGTAATCAGGAGGGAACTCTGGTTGCTTTGACATTGAAACCTGCATACTGTGAATTAAAGGAGAACTATGAAATGAGTGCTTTTCACTCACCTCATAGTTCTAGCCGACCTGTGACAATGAGACTGTCACAGGTCGGCTCAGTAGATCGGGAGGTGAGCGAACATTTACCGGCGTTTGCTCATTTCTCCATCCTGTCACAGCTCTCTGCCGTGACAGGTGAGGGGCTGGATTCCCCCCTCCCCGCTCTGATCCTCCAGTGCTAACTGGTGGAACGGACGGGGGAGGGGGCGGGTACAGCTGGCTCTGCCTCTAGATAGGCAGAGCCAGCTGTCACTCACGCAGCTGGGCGGATCCAGACATAATTGTCGGGATCCGCTTCAGCTGCGGCATCTCAGTATACCGCGAGCTGTAGCTTGCGGTATACTGAGCTTAGGGTGACGGGAGGACGCTAGTTTGTGTCCTCCTGTTACCCTAAGGAGAACTATGGGGAAAAGCCCTAACCCCATAGTTCTCCTTTAATGTATTACAATATGATAACATTTTTGTTTCTTCTTTAATTCTGCCAGATCTCACAGGACCAAGTGATGATGTCACACAGTCCACTGCGTATCTTCAAACAGTTTCACAATAAGTGTGTCTTGGTATCTGGACAAGGCCCAGTTCTAGATATAGCAAAATAGTATCCTTTCTATGGCATTGTTACCTATCAACTCTGCTCACCTTTCTCATTGAGCTTTATCTTAATTTCTAAGGTTGTTACATATATTCACTTAAAAAAAAAATCCAGCTGCCCATAGACTTGCATTGGGTATGTGCCCTAGTAAAAGGTGCCTTGTTGTGTTTGTAAATAGAGGTATAAGACTGTTAACTTTCCAGAGGAAAGTTCAAGATTTAAAACATTCGTAAATAATTGAACACATAGTGACGAATAAACTAAACCCTGTCACGCAGATAATGTTGGTATATGCTTCAAGCAATAAATCTGGATATAAATTCAGGATATAAACACATGAGGGAAGTGCTAGACCTAGTAAATATTAACATTGAAAATTCCAGTCAAAGAGTTCTCTTCTGGTAAAAACACCTTCACAATAACAGAGCAAAGTTCAGTTTGTTTGTTTTAAGGAGCAATTTCAGTTGTAAAATACAAACCGTAACCAGCAAACAGTTTGTTGCCAATGTTGCTGTCACCATTGAACATCTTGTACATGAAAATCATATCCCCCTTTAATCTCCTTAATTCCAGCGTAAACATGTTTTTGAGGTCAGAAGCCTTGTCTCATAGCTCTGGTCCTCCATTCCCCTAATTAGTTTTGTTGCCCTCCGCTGGACTTTCTCCAGTTCAAGGACATCCCTTCTCAGTACCGGGGACCAAAACTGGACCGCGTACTCCAGATGTGGCCGAACCAAAGATCTATATAGAGGCACAATTATAGACTTGTCCCTGCAATACATCCCCTTCTTAATACAGGACAAGACCCTGCTAGCTTTGTTTACCGCAGCTTGGCACTGCAAGCTACCTTTCAGTTTGTGGTCTACAATGACCCCCCAATCTTTTTCTATTTCTGACTTCCCTAGCGGCATACCCATGATTGTATAGCCCATTTGTTTATTTTTATGTCCAAAGTACATCACTCTGCATTTATGGACATTAAACCTCATCTGCCATAGTATTGCCCACTCCCCTATTTTATCCAGGTCCTCCTGCAATGTTATATTGTCACGATCCGTTTCTAGTACCCTCCCTATTTTTGTATCGTCTGCAAACACGGAAACATGGCTATTTACTCCCTCCCCGATGTCATTAATAAAACAAAACGGACGTCGTGTGAACAGGCAAATAATATTGCAATATTCTTTGTTAAAGAAAAAAAATAAAAAACATTTTCTCCAATGTACATTAGACTCTTCATAGTGGCACACAGAGGTTTCTATTAGTAAGTAATATTTAAGTGACTATGGCAGAATGCATCAGCGCACTGTGGGTTGGCATGTGGGTTGGCGTGGGTTGCAGGAGAGCACAGAAGAGGGTATATTGCATCTGGACTAAGCATTACCACCGTATAAAAGGCAATGTCTGGGGATACATCTTGGTGGTATGACTCTCTCTTCTCTCTCTCTCTTCTCTCCTGTCTCTCTTCTCCCTCTCTCCTGTCTCTCTTCTCTCTCTCTCCTGTCTCTCTTCTCTCTCTCTCTCTCTCTCTCTCCTGTCTCTCTTCTCTCTCTCTTCTCTCTATCTATCTCTCTCTCTCTCTCTCTCTATATATATATATAGGTGAAACTCGAATAATTAGAATATCGTGCAAAAGTAATTGCAGTAAGTGCTGCAAAAGGGGCCCAAACCAAGTACTGAGTACATATGCATGCTTGTACTTTTCAGAGGTCCGATATTGTTCTATGTACAATCCTTGTTTTACTCTCTCTCTCTCTCCTGTCTCTCTTCTCTCTCTCTTCTCTCTATCTATCTCTCTCTCTCTCTCTCTCTATATATATATATAGGTGAAACTCGAATAATTAGAATATCGTGCAAAAGTAATTGCAGTAAGTGCTGCAAAAGGGGCCCAAACCAAGTACTGAGTACATATGCATGCTTGTACTTTTCAGAGGTCCGATATTGTTCTATGTACAATCCTTGTTTTATTGATTGCATGTAATAATCTACTTTTTTGAGGTTGTGGATTTGGGGTTCTTGGGGTTTTCATGAGCTGTAAGCCATAATCATCACAATTATGACAAATCACGGCTTGAACTATCTTGCTTTGCATGTAATGAGTCTATCTCATATATTAGTTTCACCTTTTAAGTTGCATTAGTGAAATAAATGAACTTTGCACGATATTCTAATTATTCGAGTTTTAACTGTATATATAAAGAACTACAGTCAGTATTTCCTTCTCTTTTTTGTTGTAACTTGGACACGTGAGCGGTTGTAACAGTCATTTCATATTCAAATTTAGAAGCAAAAACTGAAATGCAATTATTCTATTTATATTGTCCTATATTAGTTTTCCTTAACCAAGAAATCAGTTTAGGATTTTCTAATCCTATCACTGTGGACTCTGTGTGCGAGTCTTATCCATTCCTGGATATGGTGGACCACAGACGAAGACCTACAATTTTGGTGAGTATTGAATCATTTTAACAATATTTCTGTAGTTTACTTTGTTGGAAAATGACACAGGTTCAGCCTTTCAGAAATTCTAGCAGCTTGTAATCTACAGGAAAGTATGAAGTGTATGTAAACTCCAACAAATTAACGTTTCTTTATTTGCTCCCTTTCGGTGTGTAAAGCATTAATATCTGTTCGATAGGTGCAAATAATTGTCATAATAGCTGTTACCTTCCTGTGCTCTCTGCTTTGACTGCAGTGTTATCAGTTACATTGTTCCCAGCAACCTGAAGACTACAGATCTCCTTCCCCTATGTTATGGAGAAGAGGTGGAAGTGTTTTGCAGTCTTGTTGACCATATGCTCATTCATAGATAAGACAATGCTCACTCACTGTAGTAAATTGCTTACAAAACCAACACATGAAATGCTAGATAATTTCTATGCTATTTTTGATATGCAAGCTTCATCGGGAGTCTTTGGGCACGGTGACCTATGTATTTGTTCATTTACAATGCCGTGTTCAGTCCTGTGTCACCGTGACACGCTGATAGCACCAGCTAGAGGGCCAGATCTGCAAACAACTTCAATTATCCCAATCAATGACCTTTACTTTAGCTCTAGAAGCAGCTCAGATTTAAAAAGTAGTTGATAATAGTGCCCCTGCTTTGTAACGTGTGCAGACAGCGACATTAAAGATTAAGGCCCCGTTCACACCAGGGCGTTTCATCCCGCGTCTTTTTCCTAGCTGAAGCGCGCAAAACAAAATACCACATATTCCTATGAATCCCCTTCATGCAAACGCACTTAATCGCGCTTCATAATACGCCTGTGGCTTGAAGTAGTCCCTGAGCTTTTTTTGTGGAGCTGATCAGCTCGTTTTGCTCCATAGACTTCAATGGAAATGCGTTGATGAGCGGGTTTTTGCGCATATCTGCGTGTTTTTAAAGGGCGTTTTTGCAGCTGAGACTGCTTTTCATTGGACAATGGAAAACAAGCTTAAAAAAACGCTATGGCATATGAACAGAAAAAGCCAGCGAGACGCTGTCGCCCTGGTGTGAATGTAGGCTAGGGGACGTTCAGTTTGCAATAGCCAATAGCAAGCTGGCTATTGCACCCGCCCTCTGCTGCTGTCAGTCAGCAGAGGTGGACCTGATGGAGAACTTTGGGTCCACCTCTGCTGATTGACAGCAGCAGTGGGCGGGTGCAATAGGTATTCTGCTATTGGCTATTGCAAACTGAAATAGCCAATAGCTATCTAGCTATTAGTTCCTATGTCAGGGTTTTTTTTTATGACTGACAGCGGCCGGCGGCTCCGATGTCAGAAAAAAAAAACAGAGAGCACGGAAAGGTTTACTCTGAGCAGGGTAAACCGTTTCGGGTAGAAAATGTTTCTCTCCCGGGTGTCCGGGAGTCGCTATCTAATGACGGGAGACTCCCGGAACATCAGGGAGAGTTGAGATGTCTGACTTGCAGCAGTGCCTGTGAGCTGTTATGGGACAGCTTTGGTGACTCTCTTGGATTGAGAAATCTCTCGTGTAGCAAAGCCCTTAAAGTGACATTAAACCCTCTGATTTTTTAACATAAACCAATACTGTAATGTGTGCCTTACTGTAATCCATGGTAGTTTCCCTTCTCTTTGCTGCTCTTCCTTTTAAATCCTCATGTCTTTTCATGCTTGGGGAGAACTTCCCTTTGCAGCTGAGTGCCTCTTCCTGTAGTGCTGGCTCAGGTTGCAAACCTACACACAGACACCATGTATCCATTTCAGAGACAAGGCAGTCTGCTGCAAAACAGAAGTTCTGCCCAGCATGAGAACAAATACAGATTTAAAAGGAAGAGCAGCAAAGAGAAGGGAAACAACCATGGATTACAGTAAGGCACACATTACAGTATTGTTTTATGTTAACAAATCTGAGGGTTTAATGTCACTTTAAACCTTTTAGTTAAAGTGTATCTATAGCCAGTTTTGTTTCTAGTTTGGGAGTGGTAATCTGTGTCAGCAGAACAGAAAGTGAGGGAAAATCTCTCTCACAGGCAGCAGTAAAACCTGACAGTAATCCTTCCCCACTCCATCCAAAACTGGAACACAATGGCTATAGGTGCACTTTAAATACAAATACATTCAAATGTCTTAACTGTTGTTTTGTCATTTTTTTTCTATTTTATTTTACAGCCATCTACAGCTGTGGATCTGCCAAAGATAGATGGTAAATATTGCTCTGCTAATGTTCACTACAGTACCCTACAGATAGAGCTTTCTTTTGGTGGTATTTAATCACCACTGGGTTTTTTTTTTACTTTTTACTATATTAAGGAAAAATTACTGAAAATCTGGAAGAAAAAAAAAGTTTTTCTTTTTACATTATGTTAGGAAACAAATATTATTACCCAATTTTTTGCTAAAATATAAAAGACTGGGTCACGTCAGGTAAAAAGACACCAAACATGTCAAGTTTTAAAATTGCGCGTGCGAAATCGCAAAAAACTACCATACCCAGAATTGACCATAGGCGACGCTTTAACAGCTTTTACCGCTCATCAGTTTAGTGTTATCCGTAATTAACGGCCCTAAAATTTTCACACTCCGACGTTTGCGGCAATCTGGAATATGTGTGGCGTAATGGGCGCAATAGTCGTTTTCGCACGTATCCGCACCCAACGCATGTATGTATGGGTGGGGACTTTTTAAAAAATCTTGTTTTTTTTTCCTATTTTTTTTTCACTTAACTTCTTAACTTTATTGTTATCACATAGGGGGCTACGAAACCCCCCTATGTGATAGCAAAGAGATGGGACAGGTCCTCTTTATGGAGACATCAGGGGTCTCCAAGACCCCTAATGTCACCTGGTGACCCCCTAAGAAGCTGATGAAGCAGAGACCTGCTTCATCAGCTTCTCTCCAGCTTCTGAAGCTGGAGAGTGACAGCAAAATGCGGAAGTGATGTAATATACATCACGTCCGCATTCTGACAGCAGAGAGGGGATCGGAGGGAGCTTGTGTACCGATCTCCCTCTGATCCCCTGTCACCATGCTAGTCCTGGGCTCGCATTGGACACAGCTGAGCCCGGGACAGCGGGAGGGGGGCCGCACACACCGGCACCTTATACAAGCAATCTGCCGGATCTATAGCCTGCGGATCGCTTGTATGTAAACAGGCATCGCTGCCTGTTTTTAAATTTGAGCAGGTTGCCGCTCTGGGTGGGCGTGGCTGACGGACGTTGAAATACGCCCGCTCAAATCTAAGAAGCTCCCGGCCGGCCGTATTTTTTAGAAGGTTAAAGCAGGGGTGGGCAACGCTGGCCCTCCAGCTGTTGTGGAAAAACAAACATTTTATGTGTCCCATTCACACTACAACGCTAGCTTGATGGGCGCTGCGCTGGGATAAAATGCAAACGTACTGCATTTTATTGCAGCGCACTGCATGCCGCAGCAGATCATCGGCTGTGCAGGGATAAAGTTAAAAAAATTAAACAGTGACCGCTCCGGCAGTGTGATATACCGTGTGATAAACGAGCTGCCACAATGCACTAGACCAGTGGTGGCACACGGGGCCCTCTCTGCTGGCACGGGAGCCCAGGTTCAGGGACCCCCAATGCAAATAGATCCGACCGCCGCGGATCGCGATCCGGGCTGGTCGCAATCAGGCAGCGGCGGCCTCTAAACAGGCGCATTAGACGGCTGCTTCCTCCTCGCTAGGACCCCAAGCGACCCCTGCGATCAGCTGTCTAATATGCCTGTTTAGAGGTCGCTGCCCGATTGTGACCTGCCCGGATCGCATACTGACTACAGAGGCGATCTGGGACGTTCCGATCCACTGTGGGAGCCGCACAGCCTTCCCCCTCCCCCCCTGAGAGCCAAACAACCCCCCTGGATCTCTAGTTTGTGGTATTCTGCATTGCTGTATAGTGCATTACTGGGATGTATAGTCTTCTATAGTTGGTGGTATTCTGCATTGCTGTATATTGTATTGCTGGGATTTGTAGTCCTCTATGGTTTGTGGTATTCTGCATTGCTGTGTAATGTATTGTTGGGATTTGTAGTTCTTCTACAGTTGACGGTATTCTGCATTGCTGTATAATATATTGCTGAGATTAGTTCCTTTACAAGTTGGAGTCAGTGGCAGAGCTACCAGGGTCACAGCGGTCACAGTTGTACTGGACCCTGGTGCTCCATCACCGACTCCAAGGTGTAGAAAGACTGTTATCTTGCATTGTGCTGCATGACATGCACCTTAGTAGCACACTGCAATGGAACACTTCACTCATTAGCACAGTACAAAAGTACATGTCACTCTGTAGTGTAGGTAAAACCTCCTTGTATTGTATTTTTCTTCTAAGATTTAAGCACATAATTAGTTCAGACAGTCGTATAAAGTGTTTTCTGAAATAAATCATTAGTATTCGGGTCTAACTGCAGGGTTAGCACTTTGAGACGCATAAGTTGGTTTAGTGATCCAGTTTGGGCACTCGGGCTCAAAAAGGTTTGCCATCACTGCACTAGACCAACTGCTAAAATGGAGCGTTTGAGCGGATGGGCTAGTGTAAACAGCCCTAATACAGTCATAAAGTGCAGTGCAAGGCACATAACTGGTGGTAAGCAGTAGTGGTATTATGAAGTAAGCTCGGCCCCTATAGTGAAAGCCATGGTAAAGTTACTGTTGTAATCAGGTGCTATAAGATGATGGTGCTGTTTGTATTTGCAGCTGTGATCCTGTTTGGGGAACCAATTCGATGGGAAACAAATCTTCAGATCATTATTGATGTTTTGCTGACGGGGGGTTATCCTGCAAACCCCCATAGATCCACCAGTTACCCTCATATTCCATTGCTGGCATGTAATATGGATTTGATGTGGATGGCAGAGGCCCGCTCACCAAGGTAGGAACAGCGCATGTGTGCTGTATATACTGTATATATAAAATATATCAAGTCCCATACAAACATTTGGGCATCTATGGTCAAATTTACATGTTTGTTGATGTGCTTAGTAAAAACCTGAAACCTTTGTGCAGAAAACCAAAATTTTCAGATACTCAGCAATATTTATTAATGTTTGTGTGTTGAATTTAATTGCTGATGGTGAATAATTATATACTGCTTGGCCAAAACAAAAGTCACCACCTGGATTTAGCTAAGCAAATAGGTCAGAATCTTCCATTGGATAATTAGACTAGGTTCAGCATTGTTATGTCCCCTAAAAATAAGGTAAGCTGCCGACCTGAATATACTGAATGGGCAGGTTTTTCCATCAATGGATTTTCTCTTCTCTGATGACACATTGGGAATATTGCAAGATGACAATGCCAGGATTCATCAACTCAAATTGTGAAAGAGTGGTTCAGGGAGCATGAGACATCATTTTAAGATACGGATTGGCCACCACAGTCCAGACCTTAACCCCATTGAGAATCTTTGGGATGTGCTGGAGAAGACTTTACACAGTGGTCCGACTCTCCCATCATCACTACAAGATCTTGGTGAAAAATGAATATCACTCTGGGCATAAATAAATATTGTGACATTGCATAAGCTTATCAAAACGATATCATGGCAAATGCGTGCAGTAATCAAAGCTAAAGGCGGTCCAACTAAATATTAGCACGTGTGACTTTTTCTTTTTTGGCCAGGCAGTGTAGTTGCTTATAATTCTAGGTAAGTGATGGGCGTTCAGCATGTGCAAGATGTGAACCCATCCACCAAATTGCATAAATTGACATGCCCAGTGAAGTACGGGCAGCTTGGTGTACCTACAAAAACCTGCAGTTGTCTTCCAGTTACTTTGTGTCTGGAGAGGACCCTGAACCCTTAGCCCAAGCTGTATACATCCTTCATAAATTGGGATTAGGCGCCACCCCCTCAGTTGAATAATTTGATTGTCATAGAAATACCTACGGTTAAAAAGACATGGGCGGGGCTTAATCTGAACCTGGCATGAGGCTAAATTCCTGTGTACGGTCTGAGTTTAGGACGCAGGGTCCTCCCTTAGGCTCAAAAAAGGGCTTAGAGGGCAAGTTCAGATATTTCCAGGAACATTAAGGTCTGTCTGCACAACATCAGAACTGTTTGTTTATGGGAATATTTCCTTTACCTTTTGAGTTTTTATTAATTAAAAGTAATGCAAATAATGAAGGCAATTTGAATAATCCCAAATATAATTGTGAACTTTACAGTAACAGATGGGTGCTAGTTTTTTGTGATACTTGGACCACTGGACTGTTAGGGCCGATTCATACCATTTTCTGGACCAGATCTGGAACGCACTGTGTTGCGTTTTGCCGCGTTTTTTATGCATTCAATTCTAGGTCTTGCTGGGGGACCTCTGCAAGACCTACAGATAGCCAGGAAAAGAGCAGCACAATGCTTGCACGTAAGAGGCATGAACTTACCACAGTTGTTCTTTTCAGAGCTGCTCAAATGATCATAGCCAGGGACAGCCTGGGCAGCAATGCCTCTCCTGTCTGTACTTTTTTTCTTCATGTCATATTCAAAACACCCACAAGGGGTCAATCACGAGCCAATGTGATCTTCGAAATGCGTTGCCAAGACTACCACAAGCGTCCTATCAATTTTTGGACCACCTCGACCGCCGTCGTTGCTCGGCGGCGCCTGCGCACTTCGTCACCCATTCAACCTCGTACAGAGAGCCACTGCCCGCACCGCAAGCTCTCTCTCTCCCAAACACAGGACGCGATCGGCGTCCTCCACCTGCCAGTGAACCCGCCCTCTTCAAACACAGGACGTGATCGACGTCCCCCATCCACCAGCAGACCAGACGCTTCAGCTCCGCCGCCACCAGCGTGAAGGACGGACTCACACCCGAGCCATTGCAACTCAGCCCAGCAGCACGTCCCACACACAGACACCCGACGGAATCGCACCTCGACTCTGCAACTGAAGACCCTGCACCCAGTCCCAGAGGAGACCGCCGGACATTGCCTCCAACACGAATCCCGTCGTCGATGACTACACTTCCTCAAGAACCTCACGGTGAGTTGATATACGCACCACACACCGCTCAACTTGCTTCCATTTCATGTGCACCTTTTTGTCTTTTGTTTCTCCCTCCACCCCCGATACTTTATACATCACGGAGGAAAAATATTAACGTAATTGCTTCTGGGGCAGCATTAACCCTGCATGCCCTAGTCCACGAAATTTCCCCCTATTCTCATCTGTCCAACCCCAAGGGCAGTTGCGCCTCAGACTCTGTTTTTCTGTTTTGCACTTGTCTTATATTGCCCATACCTCGGATCATACAGCTCTGGGCAAGCTTCCACAAGTTCTACAAAGAATTAGCTGTCCACTTCAGCCATCGTGGTTCCTATCTTCACAAATCTCTCTCCCCACAGAAGCAGGAAGTCCAGGGGTGATGAAATCATCCAAACCAGCCCCCCCCCCCCCA